TCCTCCCGTGAACCGATTCCAAGTATTGATTGTACTTTGGAAGGAAGTAATTCTTCCATTGGCTGTTAGGGGCTAATAATAGTGGATTTCAAAATGGTCCAGAAACCCATGAGATGAAACTTCACTTCACATTTGTTCTGATGAGCCATAAGACTAGTCAGACATCAGGAAAGACCTTAAGAACTACAGTAGATTTTCACCAGATACCTGCAGTTCTTTCCAGTGTCATATTTATAGCTAAAGGTGTTTCTATATTAACTCTTATTTCCGAAATGCAGGTGTACAAATGGCTGATGAATAAAAGAATAATCTAAACCTTTTACTGTATCTCCTTTAACCTTCAGTTCAAGTTTATGATGACTTAAATGTGTCTCAGCGTAAATACCAAGTCCTATTCACGAGTTCTGAAAAGACTATAGCAAGCATTTAGAAATGATGTTGTGCAATGTGATCTCTGGAAATGGAAAGAGTGAAATGCATTAAATTAATGGGTTTTTGCTTCCCTTTTTCCCTTAAACATATTTCAATCTTCAAACTCTTTGTCTGCTCATTGCATTAGTAATCTAATGCTTCTATCAACAATTCAGGTTTTACATTGGAGAGGCTGTTAGTTATTAAACAGGCAATTCAGTTTGGCCTTAAAACGAACCTGTGGCCTCTTTCTGTTCTGTTTGTTCAGATGCTATTTTACTTGGCGCGGTGGTTGTCCTAACAGTTGGCATAATCTGGCCTAGATGACCTGGTAGAACTCAAGTAAACTCAACACACTAGCAAAAAAGAGGTTTATTAAAACTTCATACACCTGGGCCTTGAAATGTAGGAAGTCCTTCACTTGTAGATTGAAAAATGGAAAAAGAAAGCATGGTCTTACATGAAAGGGAAACCATAACCCTTGACTCTTACACTGAGGGGATCTAGTTGCTGTGGAAGGTTGTGGTTTGGGTCCACTTGTCCCCTTTAGAGACAAGATCAATACAGCTCAATACTAAGTTATCCTGAGTGCTCTCCAGATGACAAAGCACATATATCCTGGGATGGGATGCCTTTTATTCATGAGGTACTGGCAGAAAAAAAGAAATAAAAGTTGGACACAGCTTCCATAATATCTCCCACTGCTTATAGACTCTGCATTCTGAAACAGCATGTTGCTTTGGGGTTTGGGAGCTAGCTTGTTCATTCATTACAGGTAAGTTCTCGCTTCTGGCCAACATATTTTTGGGGGGTTTGGAGCCAGTAAAATGGTTTTAGCTGCCAAAACCCTTAATTAAAGCTTAAAAATGCAGAGCCTGAGGTTACTGGTTACTGGTAGCTATGTTCATTTATTCTGCCTGTTAGACAAGTGCTTTGTTTTTGTTACTTCATGTTGGCTTCAGTCCTAGAGATTGGTGGTTGGGAATAAAGGTTCACTGAATGGTTCGAGGATTGTGAAAGTGATCTAAATCAAATGCTGTGACCTTCATAAGTCACACATCCATTCTGTCCAGTTGAACACTTATGGATGAGTTTGGACTGTTGTTTCTTGTCATCCTGAGGCATAATATACCTAGTTATGACAGATTCCACCAAAGTCTTCCTGTTATGCACAAGGTGTCCTCTGGCATCAAGTGGTAATGGCTCCATTTCCGAGACCTGCAAATTCCACATTAGGAGATTGGAGGGATGGTGCTAAGCTGTGATTGGTGACAAGCCCAAACCTAGCCTAGCTTCAAGATTGGGAAAATCAGTGCCACATTAAAGGAAAAAAAACTCTCTGCAGTTTGTCATCCATTTGTATGAAACCAAATTTATGAAAAATGATAACCTGATACTTGCAAAGTTCGCAGAATTGTACAAAACACACAGAGGACCTTATTTTAATGTCCTATAAGCACAGACCATTGTGGCTCCTCTGTTTTGCCTCACAGGCTATCTTTAAAACATTTGAGGGAAAAGGTATTGGAAGCCCAATTTGCCTGAGTTTGCATGGTCATGATCAGTGACTGGAAAAACTGCACAGTCAAATGTGTGTCTCAGCGAGTAGACACAAACCACCGGGCAGCTGTCATGCATGCTGTTTTAAATTGAAGTTTGCAGTGGGCAGGCACAGTAATGTAAACACTTAATGGAAAATTACCTGAGCAGTGAATATTAAAATTACAAACGGTGCTGCTTGGCATGAAAACTGAGGGAAGTTGCTTCTTTCAAGACGACACCGGTGCACCAAATAAGGTGTTTTCAATCTTTGTAAACGAGTCACTGCTCTGTTATGTGCTTAAATCATTTTAACTGAAGGGAAAATGTAGTAACAATAAGTAAAATAATCTCTCCTAAGTATGCCAATATGATCTCATTCCAGTTTGTCCAATGTGAGTTTTTGTTAGTACTCTGAGAAGAAGTTAATTACCTTTCTTGAGCAGACAAAATAAACTGTAAGCTGCCACGTTCTGAAATTGTAACAGGCATTTTTGTGTCACCTTTGAAAAATCTACTCAAATGTCTGAAACATGAAGAGAAAAGGCTTAAGTAGCTTAAAAAAAGGAATGCACCACTTTTGTTCATTAGCAGTTGACATTTTGATGCTAGACTCACTAGCTTGACCTTGGCCTCTCTTCTTTTAGATGACTTCATTCTCATCTTGATTCTTTGATTCTTATTTTGAATTGTTCCTACTGCTCTTGTGAAATTCCAACCAACACGAAGAAATGTTTTTGATTGTTTTTTTTAAAGTAACTGATGTTTCAGTTGTTTTTCCTACAACTTTTTCATCTTCCACAACCATCCAAAGCTCCAAGATTGCAAATACGAACAAATTTTAATAGATTTTGACTGTCTATCGTGTCATTTTCAGCAGTGGGTGGAAAAAAAATGAACTGGGTATCTGAGGCAAGCAAAACTAGTTGCTCCTACTTGTGTGATTTCTGTAACATTATTTATACAGTTATCTTTGTAATACTTACACACCCTTTGCTACAAAGTTCCTATCCACCATTGCCTGCTGTATTCTTGGGTTGTGTGATCTGCAAAACAAGCCCAAATCTTCACCCCTCCACCACCGTGCTTGACAGTTGGTATTACGTGTTTGTGCTGACATGTTGTGTTTGGGTTTCTCCAAAGTACAGCCAAATACCTCAACTTTGGTCTCATCTGTCCAAAGATTGTTGCAGAAGTCTTGTGGTTTGTTCATGCTGCCATGTTCTCTTTAGATAGAAGGTCCATTATTTGAAATGCTCTATGACAGCGGTCTCCAAACTTTTTTGCACCACAGACCGGTTGTGTCCGACAATATTTTCACGGCCCGGCCTTTAAGGTGTCGCGGATAAATACACCAAAATAAAACCAGTACCAAAAGAGAAGATTTATTCATAAAACATGGGAAAAGACCCAGGGTCTTTAACTATAAAAATAATTAAAAAAAAAAAACAATAAAAACTGATAAAACCCCTGAAAACCATAAATTTCACACCCGAGGCGCAACTCTCGCGGCCCAGTACCAAAGGACTCCAGTCCGTGGCCTGGGGGTTGGGGACCGCTGCTCAATGAGGCTTTTACTGCAGCCACCTTGAGTTGCTTCATTGAGTTGCACTGGCAGCTCTTTGGACCTCATATTGAGAGTTCATCGAAGTTCATCACTTAGAATTAACTCCAGATCTCTGATCTACTTTGTTTGTCATGAAATAACAAGAGAACAGGCCTCAACTGGCCACAAAAGTGCTTCCCAGTTACTTTAGAGCCTTTGAAAACACAGGATTATGTACAACAGCTGTAATTCCTACACAGTTAAAGCAGTCTTTTTGTTAAAGCCCTTGAGTTAAAGCTGAGAGTCTGTGCTTGAATGACAGCTCAATTGTTTCCTTTATAATCCACTGTGGTGGTGCATAAAGGCAAAATTGCAAAAAAGAAAAAAAAGCGTCTTTGTCTAAAAACTTCCGAGCCTGAATCTACGTGGAACCTCTTGCAAATGATATTTTTAATCTCAAAGGTGTTTCTTTCCCTTAAAGGTTAAAAAGTTTAAATTAAAAAAAGGTGTAAACACTTAGTCATTGTAAAATTGATGCAGCAGAATACTTAATAAAATATTCCTTTGTGTATCCGTCACTCGGGCCAGATATATCCGTATTCCCGTATTTGCTGCCGTTAGCCTTTTAAGCACATTCTCCCGAGTACGCCGCCCCCACAATTCACAGCTCTTAATGAAAATATGTGACACAGAAATGTGGAGATCTTGAAACAGAAACCAATTTGCGTCTTGGTGGAGACTTTCACAGAAAGCGGTTCAGAGTGTGTCTCTCTGATTGACACGAGTCCTGAGCACTTCAGTTGTTGTGGTTCCCACTTCCTGAGCCTGGGCTCCCTGTGTGTTTCGCCACATTTGGAGACGACTCGAGCCAAGTTGGCAGCGAGCAGAAAACTCAAATCGAGGCCTCAGAACTTCTCTTTAGAAACTAATGGCTGATGTAGCCAAAGCTGCAGTTTGCTGGTTGAACGCCAAGTAGTAGCAGCTTTAAAAGAGGTTTCTAAACGAGCAGTTTAATATGAAAGTTTTCAAATAGACACAATTTCAAAACTTTAACAGTTTCTTTTGTCTGCTGCTTATATACCTTTAAGCTCGTATCTGTTTTTGTTTGATATTTTTCTTCCTGCTGTCACACTACGCCATCTTATTACAGATCTCATTTTCAAAATGTTCGCTTGTAATTATGTTATCAGATCTCACAGTCATTGTGCTGAAACCAAACAAGGCCTGTCTAATTCCTTGTTACTTCATCGTTATTAATGAAATAACAACATGAGGGCAATTTAATTTCAGTACTGCCTGCAACATTTTCGCTCATTTGACCTAAGTGACAGCATGACACATGCTATGAAAACCATAGTCAGTGCAATTTGGGAACTAAATTGCTGTCCTCACCCAGTTGGAAACTGACCTTGTCTCCTCACACCTCTGCTTCTGTGTTTCTCTCTCTTTATCTGTTCTCCTTGGTCGACTCCTGTGTTTCCCGCTCTGCCTCTCCCTGTACCAGATAACTTCCCACAGATGGCTCATCAGAAGCGCTTCATCGAGCGGAAATACAGGCAGGAGCTGAAGGAGATGAGACGAGAGCGGGAGCGGCAGGAGAAGGAAACCGAAGACTCGGAAGAGTACAGGAAGTGACAGCGCCTTCTTTGGGACAGCCAATCAGGACCCGGGTCCACATTAGGGAGCCTTCTCTGCAGATGTTGCAGCTGTTCAGGCAAGAGCTAGCAAAACGGAGGTGCCACTAGTTGATCGTGAAGATGTAGTAAGGAAGATAGATGGGTTTTAGGAAGGGATCAAGTGGGTCGAAGTGACCGTTAGCACAAATATTTGGGGGGAAACTACCTTTGTGCCCAGTATTTTCAAAGTAAAAGTAGGACAAAGGGCAAAGGGAATTAGAAATGAAGACTCATGCATTTATGTTTTATGCTGTTTATCACTCCGGCTCTGTCAAAGGTGGCTTTATGTTGTCTTATGTGTATGTTAAATATAGAGTGGAACCTTTTTAAAAACAAAGCCACAGCAGGACCTCACCGTGTTACTGGCACATGGCAAAAAAATTCCCATTTTTTTAAATGGAGTAAGAACTGTTAAATAAACCATCAGAGCATCTATTGTAAATAAAGTTTCTGATTCTGGTCCAAAAAGTGAGATTTTCTTATTTATTTTTTGCATTAATTGTAATCCCCTCCTACTCAGATCTCTAAACCTCTAAAACAGGATGAGTCCGTTATACTCCCTCACTACAGTGTCACCATCTGTCTCACATCTGCCACTCATCCTCTAATAATCAAAATGTGATTTTTTTCCCCCCTCCTCTACTCTCTTTTTAACCTCTCTCTAAATCCGATTGGCTGTCTAACAGATCTTAATTATAGATTGTCTAATTAACAATTTCCTCAGCTCAGTAGCCTCTGGATCCAGCTATTTAGCAAAAGCCGTCATATTAATAACTATCTGACGTCTAGAATCGGGTCTTTTATACTGAGATTTATTGTAGATAATAAATACGTACCTGTGAGGATGGTAGCTGTCTAGCTTACTAGCCTGTGGCTGCTGTCACATTTCAGATAAAAGTTACATTTTTCTTCATAACTAGAGGGAAGAAAGTAAAAGTGGTCCACTAGAGCTGCCACACAGCTGTCTGTCAAACAATGTTATTCTGAAAGAGAAAACCTCACAGCAGCTGATTTTTAGAGAGATTTGAATGTTTTATGTAAATAGTAAGAACTTCTGCCAATAATTATCTTACTGAGCATTTTTGGCTCATGGAAAACATAATAACTAAAGAATAATCATTTTCTCATTCTTAAAGGTTAAAGCTGTTCTGAATTTGTTCATATGCACAATTTGTGAATGAGGCCAGTTGTCATGGCTACACATTAATGACCAACGACTACAAACCTATTTTAAGTTGAACCGGGAGCGCCGTACTTCACAACTCAAAAACAACTGAGGGTTTTTTTGATAAAAAGAACAAATAGGTGCAAATAATACAAATTATATTTTTATTGTTTATTAAAACTCTCCAATTCACTTTTTCTTTCTGACCCTTGTTTTGCTGTAACAGGTGAATTTTCCCAGTGTGGGATCAATAACGTCTCCTGTATCTATGACACAAGGCTAGATTGTTAGTTACTATAAATTGTAATACTGAAAAAAAATGAACCAAATAAGTTTTAAATGAAAGAAATCAAATTACTGTAATAGCGTCGAGTAACGTAATTTAAAAAAATGTTTATCGTGTATACTTTAAAATGTGTTTAGATGTCAGGTGTCTTCGGTGTTAATGATGATCTGATGATTGCACAGTACATATTATACATCACCATGCTGCCTACAGCCACATTAAAGTGAATGCTAATTTTTTACACCTCAACAGTAAAAAGCTGATGGGATACTGTATTCACCCCGCCGGGCAGTCAGCGTTGACCCCCAACATTATGAAGACGATTGCGCGATTTAAAATCGGTACCATAAGTGAATCTTCAAATCTCACAAGAGGGCAAGTTTTGAGAAGTTTCCCAAGTCTCTCTCATTTTGCAGTTAAATCACCATCCTGTAGTAACTTCAGCACTATTTGTGGAGGAGTTTCTTGTTCAGACTCATGAGTCGTCTGGTTAGACTCTGAAAGCAATTAATGTCAGTTTGTATGTAGACGACAACAGATTTGCAACAAATAGGAAAAGATTTGTGATTTTCACTGATTTGTCCGAGTTAATCTCTGTATTATCACAAGCAGATTGCATGTAATTAATGACTTGAACCCATTTAATCGCAAACTGATAGCAGATTGACTTTGTCTCATTGGTGTTTTATCAATTTCTCCATACACCAAAGTTGCTTTGAGGAGAACAGCTTACTGACAAGTGAAGTGACCTTGTTAAAGGCAACAAGATCGCGTGTATCTGTAGCATTAGTGTAATCGCTCTAGCTTCTTTCTTACTTGAGTGTATTACAGTTGTTCCTGCCTTCGCTATCGGGAGAAAGAGGACATCAGCATCACCATCTGCAGTAGCTGCCTCGGGTTAAACAAATGCCTCACGTTGCACCTTGAGACACACAAATCTGTGAAATATTCTGGAAGAAAACCTCATAAAGAGAAACGAGTGGTTGATTTTAAAGATATTTAATTGTGTCATATAAATATTCAGTACAAAATATCACGGTTTACAAAGCAGATTGATGGATGGCCAGTGATGCAGGGCCCCTTACAAGTACCACGACCTCTCAAATTGTTTCTACATTGACAGAACTGCTCAATCACATTGTCACCAACATAATATAGCGTAGTAGAGTTGAGCCCCGAGAGCGACCATGTCTACACATCAACAACCACAGATCTATTTTATCTGGAGAAAGAGGACATCAGTGTCACCATCTAGTTGCCTCAGCTTTAAGGGAAAAAAAATGATGTGGCAGCATGGTTTGTTTGGACGTGTAACGTTTTCGACGACTTTAACTGAGCCCGGCGCCAACGCTTGTAGACAATTACACTCGCCGTAGGAAAACACAAGTACGGCTTCGTGATGGCGATATGCTGACATCCTGTATGAAGACAGAAAACTGTGACGACTGAAGGGGAAAAAAATGGTTTTGGTGAGTGCTGCTGTCATGTTGACTTTCATTTGAGACCTCGCATTGCACCTGGAGGCGGAAAAGCAGTTTTCTTATACTGAAGGGTCTTTAAACCCATTAAATGCTTATCATAGCAACGTTACCACAGTCTGAAATGGCCACTTACACAACAGGAGCTCCAGCAACAAGCTAATAAACAAAACAAGGCGGCCAAGAAATAGAAAAGAGAACTCGTGTATATGATATAAAGAATTTTCCAACCACTGTGCAATCAGCTGGCTCGTGATAGAGGGGAAAAAAGTAGCACTATGGCAATTATGCCATTGTGTTTTGTTATTACTGTTTCAAATGTCTGATAAATGTCAGCCTCTTCACTGGTTGGCCTTTTGCTAAAGTGAGGGCAGAGCTTGTTTTAGCTGGCCTTTTTTTTTTCCTGTTGATATCATTGTGCCCTCCTGGTTTAGACATTTTCTCTGTTTCACAGCTGTGTGTTTGTAGTTAGGCAGCTTTTAAAGTAATTTCCCAATTTTGTTGTGGTAGAGATCATTTTCACAAGTTTCCTCCTACTTTTGAAAAATTAAACCTTTGTGATCTTGCTGCAGGATAATGTTTTGACCTTCTCTCTGAGCCGAGGACACACCTCTGGGCTTAAGAACCTAATTCCACACCACGCAAAGGTCAGGTGCCCCTTGATAAGCATGTTTATGGAAAGGGCTGTTAGTCCCACAGGAAATCAGTTGGGTAAAGCCTGAACATTTGAACCAGCTTCATGTTCAGCACTACATACAGTACACGTAATGAAGGGCAAAGGAAGAGACTAAAATAATGGAAGGGGTTTTTTTAAAGGAAAATACTGGTGTTCTTTGCTTTTTGGCACATTTCTATTACTGTACTGCTATGTTACATTATTATACATTCTACAGTGCAGGACGGAGCCCTTCTCAGGACACAAAATCTTAGCTAAATAGTGTTTAAGGTAGGTAGTGTGACACATTTATCACTCTTTTGCAAAAGAGTGACCGCCCTATTTTTTTTAAGGGCTCTGGACGTATGTTTCCCATTCATCTTCTTCAATGATCTTTCATAAAATTAATACACGATAAAAAGTTTTAAGCCTTGAACCTAGCCAGTCAGCCAGTAAAGTGTACCATGAACATAAAAACATTTGATTTGGAGAAAAAAAGAATTCTAATAAATAAAAATTGGGGAAAAGATCACTACAAAAATTATCAAATTTAATTGTTTTTGTTAATACAGTGTTGTATAATAACACTTTTGAATATATTGGTTACTTGTGTTTTGTGTGTGTAGTAAAGTAAAGCCTAGTTATCGATGTTTCATCCTGACTGCCATCACCTCTTTACAATTGTTAGCAACACTTAACGGGAAAAAAAGTTATTGTCTGACTAAAATCAAAAGTGACATTTAAATAGTTACTAAAAGTCTCAGTAAAGAGTAGAGCTAGCAACTGTTCGTTAATAGAGCAAAAAATGCTATTAGCTAAACAGAATGGATGAACAGCTAGCTAAAATTATAAATACAGCAGTGCTGATTTTTTTTTGTATGGTCTGTTAACAGTACAAAACAACTGATAGCACAACATAATAGAAATACAGAAAACAGTAGCTAGTTGAAACTATGGACAAAGCATAGTGGGCTTTTTTTGGTTGAAGTGTAGTTAGTAGCTATGTTGTTAGCTAGCACTATGAATTAGCATAGTAGCAAGGTGAAAGACTGGAAAACCATCAAGTGTTAGCTAACAGTACAAAGAAAGTTGTTAGCTTAAAGGATAGTTGGCTGAAATTAGGTATTAATATAATGCATTTTCGCTTAAGTACAGTTAACAGTTAAATTATTAGCTAACAACAGTTAGCAAAAAGACAGAAGACTGGGGATATGTCAAATGAAAAAGGATGAAAACCACTGATTTAGCCTTTTATTTTTCCTTAGTGAGAAGAGAATGAAGTCTGTGGAAGCATTTTGCTGTTTTCTTTGTGTGTCTGTGTTTATTTTGCGGGGTTCTTTTTGCTCTTTTTCTTTAAATTTAAGGCAACTTTCTTGATTCGTTTCATGAGCTATGACGCTTTGCGTGAAGATGTAAAGCTTCACATTAATGCAGACTTATTTCTTTAGGCTCCAGTCAATTTGTCCCTATTGTTTTTGCTGCTTACATTGATTCAAGTGCTACCTTTCCTTTCACTCTCTCTCTTGAACAGATAAAACGAGCCATTTAAGGGAAGAAAATAAAATTGCATAATGAATTTTAATGGTAACTGTCCACAAGATGTTTAACCTAATCTAATTTAATGCTGTAATTTCAGGCTCGGTGGCATCCTCTCAGCATCTTCCAACTCTGTGTTTCTGAAGTGAAGTGAGCAAAAAGGTCCAACAAGACCAGCATTTTCCCCCTAACTGAGCCCGACACATGTTAGACTTGTGGATTTGCATTGCAGCATAGAAAATAACACTATTCTGTGCACTTCATATTTCACCCTGCACAGAGAAAAAAAGACTGCTGACAACATTCAGCTCAATAAGGAAATATTTGGTATTTCAGCCCACCTCACAGCAAATGCTTTAAGCCGTGTGGTGATGAAAATCAAATACTGTAAAAATGATAAACCAGTGTGTTTGCAGGTGTTTGTAGTAGCAGTCCTTTACCACCGCTTTATATAAGCATTAAAGAACAACCACCACTTTTCAACACCTGCCACAACTAACTCAAAATTTGATGTTGTATATCTCCCCCACCTTGTGTGGAACCATATTTTTCATTTTCTTGTGGCTCAAACTCAAACTGTGGCTAAGTGTTTAAAGTGAGGCAGCCATTGCTGAAAGAGGGGATTGTTTGGAAGATAGAAATCCCTAGAAAAACAAAACAACTGTACAGCGTATTGTATCATATTACCGTACATACACAAGCTAAGATAGAACTCACAATATGCAGCATGTTTTTGTCCCAGAAACACTGAAAAATACATAGGCATATCTGTTGGTTTACAAAACTGCTTGTTGAAGTGTCCGTCACAGGCAGCTTTGGAGAAAAAAGAAACAAAGAAACAAAAAAATATCGGTATAGATATATTTGGGCCTCATGTACACCCCATATACACACACAAAAACCAAAAAGTCTTGACACAAAGTCTGTTTTAACTGTGCCCTCGCAAAAACGCAACTAACACTGACTGGACACACAAAGCCTACGTCTGGTCACCGGAGGGGACAACTGAACGGTGATCGAAGGCGGTGAAAGAGCACTCGGACAGACGGCGCTCGTTTCTCCGTCCTTTCGACATTTCACTCGCCACACGTGCACCAGAACCCTCCGGATGTTTTCAACATGTGTTTGGGATTTTTGTTTTTTCTCCTTGTCTGTGTGCCAGGTTCTCGTTAGGAATCCCTGTCGCTGTCGTCGCCCCCGTACAGGTCCGCTAGTTTCTTAAACCGGGGTCCCCACTCGCTCAGGTAGTTGTAGTCCTGGTCACTCTCAGTGGTCACTGACTCGAGCGAGCTGAGGGACTCCGCTACAGAGCCGTTCCCCTCGTAGGCGTAGGTGGCCAGGGAATCGTAAGGCGGCGCCGTCGGGTCGCTGTCGTTGTCCTGGAGCCTCTGGTTGATGAAGTCTCTCACGTCCCCGTTATTGTCCCGAGTTGGGGGCAGCACAGGCCGTCGGATCGGAGGGTAGAAGGCCTCGGGGACGATGTCTCTCCTCTGTTTGCTCTCCTCGATGGCCTCCGGGTTGCGCAGTGTGCCGATATCAAAGGCCTGGGTGTCCTCCTCTCCGCCCCCTTCGTCATTGTAGCTGACGACGTTGTCCCTGACATCCTCTTTGGAGATGATCAGAGGCTCCTTCTTCCTCTGCCTCCTCAGGGCAGCAAACAGTACCACGATCACTGTGTGGAGAACAAAAACAAAGAGAACAAATATGAGAGTTTGGTGACTTTTGCTGTTGTTTCTGTGCTCTCTCTCCTTGTTCTGAAGGCCAGTGACTGTCCTGGGGGAATTGTTGATGTTGTGTGAGTGTGCACTGATGTTCAGGGACTTTGTCTGACTTTGTAGAGCAGGCACTGCTACCACAAGGATGCATTATGCATCTCTCGCTCCTCAGGGCCGCTGCTGCTTAAGAACATAAAGGAACCCCCTTTAAGAACATAGCAGAATACATTACGCGCTAAAAATGCAACCTCTGTACCATTAAGCATGACATTCAAGGGATGGTGTGAGGGTTACTTTTAATCCTCAAGTATTCAATTGGTGTTAAACAACTCAGGGTTGTTTAAGCGTTATTTTTGAAAGAAGTTCAAATTTCAGCAAGTTGAGACAGTCTAAAACTATATTTGTTATCATTTTATATCTTTTATGTTTTCCTTGGATTTGTCTTACGTACTTGGTGACATACGCTCTAACCATAAGGTCTTATAAAAGATAGCTACTGTGACAACCCCTATATTTTTGTGCCGATCTTCTTTTGAAACTGCAAATGAGCGTTTTCACTCTTGCTTTCTTGTTGTTTTAAAATTGGATATCATGAGCAAGGATCAGACTGTGAAGCTGCACCCTTATTGGTTAACAACTTGTGACAGACAAGCCCATAGCCTGTAAAATCCTCCTTTTTGAAACATGGAATGACCAAAGTTTAAAAAATGTAGTCAATGTTGTATTCGTGCAACCTGAAATGAGTGACTAGCTCATAAACTCATCAGTGAAGTGTTCACTGAATTTGAGGCAGTGGGACAATTTTAATAGACTTCTCTAGGACTGGAAAGGGGGTTTTTTTTGCAACCACAGGTAAAACTCGTTGGTGGCCATTTAAAAAGAATGCATGTTTAAAGCATGATGGCTTTGCTTTTTGGACCTGAAAGCTACATCCATCTTTTATACTGTCTACGGCTATATCAGACTACAATAAAGTTCTAGCTGTGCACAAAAACAGCAAAGCAATGCAGCCAAGAACAGCCAGACCTTCAATATTTCCTGTCTTTTTCATCTTGATTTCACTATCTGCAGGCTTTCATCCAGAAAGTTACAAACAGGTCGAAACATGTTGGTCAAGTAATAAAACTGTCCTTTATGTGTTGGAACTTCAATTCTTTGGATTAAAATTAACCGGAATTCTGGCGATCTGCTAGATGTTGCAAGATGAAAGATACTCCAGGTTCCAATTCACAAAAATAGCCTCAAAGTAAACATTACAATATTAGAAAGAAAACCCCAAGAGTCGGACAATGAAAAGATTTTGGCAAAGGTGGGGAGGATAAACTCCCTTCAACAGGAAGTGACCAGGTTGTAGAACCAAGCTCACAGAGGCCATAGCCATCTGTTGTACCATGACTTGTTTGGGCTATGGGGTAAGTACAAATGTCCTGTTGTCTGCTGCTGCTACATCATCAGCTCTTTCTTAGACAACGGGCCCTTGACGGTGGACAGTTTGGTAGTCGTACACGAACAGCTACATTGTATTATCTGTACAAATCTAATGACAGCATCCACACACTTTTTATGCTGACGTGTCCTGACTCAGATGTTAATACTAACTCTGTTCACTGTGAAAACTGAAATGTATTTTTTCTTAAATGTATGTTTTCTTATGTTTTTCAAAGCGCGCCGAAACCCCTAAGAAAGGATCCAAGTTTTTCTTTTTTTACTTTAAGTCATGTTATTTTATGAAACTCAATATTAATGCCCAGTAAAAAAATGGATTTCCAATAAACCCACGATATTGTAAGAGAGGCATTAATACTATAGCTGAAGTTTTTATACTTACTGAGTTAAGACTGAGTTAAGACTGAGAAGTAAAGGTGCTTCAAGGTATGGCAGCAATAATTACTTGGCTTTTGAAACCTTCACCAGGCTGTAGTTTTAAATAAAAATGCTCCTAACTCACCATCCTAATGCGATGAAGAAAAGCATCCTGTTCAAGTCAGTCGAGATGCTGTAGATCTTCGCTGCTTCGCGGTTAAAATCAAATTAAGGTGACAGCTGCGGTCACTGGCAGAATTATCCGCCCACAGGAAGTGATGAATCAAATTAAGCAGTGAAATACGAAACCGAATGTTTAACACCTCCTATGGATTGCTTTGCTGGAGAAGCTCTGTAGTGAAAAGCCCCAAAAAGATTTATGCAAGAAAGAACGTAAGGCTGTACTCACTGAGCAGGATGACGACACAAAGCAAAATGGCCACCAGGGCGCCGGTGCTGAGCCCCGCCCTCGCTGTGAGCGCCTCTGCGTTGCACGCCTTCATGTTGCCCTTGCGGTCGCAGGTGCAGACTCTGATGGTCAGTGTGTTGGTGCTGCTTTGCATTGGGAACTCCCCATCAGAAATGACCACCGGCACATGGTGGACGCTCTTTTGCAGGGTGCTGTAACTGTTTCTCCTCGTGAGGATTGACGCTGTGTTGTCTGATGAGGGGAAAAATGGTTATTTACTGTAAAACATCAACCAATCAATCACACATACAGCTACATTGATAGCTACATTCATTAACAACAGGTAATGAATGTAGGGCACACGCAGTGTCTTACTTTTGTTGTCGTGGACAGAGAAGTTTGCCTTTCCAGCAGCTTCCTGAGCAAGATTGAAGAAGAACCGGTGTCCTCCGAGCGGGGCATCAGGATCTGTGGCGCCCACGGTTTGTATCACCTGAAGTGAGAAGCACACAAGTGAGTGACAGGGCAACCCAACCCCAGCCGTGAACATTTAACCACAGCTAAACTGCTGTTTGTGCGGGTGCTAGTGTTTTAGCTAGCTAATGGGTTGGCAGAGCTACGAAGAGGAAGTGGAAGCTGAGCAAGAACACAGCTGTTAAATTTCAAACAAAGAATAAAACAACCAACAAATCTAATTCATACATGCTTTTGTGATGCTGTCTCGCTAGCTGTAATGCGTCTAATTAAAGATAACTCCACTGCATGCTCGTTAGCATCTGGTAGTCGCATGTTAACATCAGCTGCTGTGATGAATAACCGAGCTGTTTATTAAGATTAAAGGGATGGTTTGTTCTTCTGGGAATTCGTAAAGACAAATAGTTCTCATAGGGCGCGCAAACAAGGAATAAACCTCAAGAGGTTTTCTGATGGTAAACGTGTGCAAGGATATTATCAGCAAAGTGTCACACTGAATTAAGCTACCTAGCAGGATACAAAGTAGTTTAAAGCGGCCTCATCTGTATCTGATGCAACATGAAGGCACCAGGCTGATTCTGCATAAAAGATCATTTTGTTCCCCTTGAAACACAGTATGAGTTTAATATAGTGATGCTGTATTTACTTAATGGGACAGTTCACCTCAAATTCAAAAATAGGTGTTTATCCTCTGGCTTAGTGGTTTGTATTCAAGTAGATCATTTTACTGTAAATTGCTCAGTTTTGGAGAGATGAATTGTGAGGATGCCTGCCTTGTCCTATCCTAAGTAATAACTGTGTTCTTTCTA